TTATCAATTATGTAGTCATGATTTCTCATATATACCATCTCATTTTCACACTAAGTATTCCTACTGGTTCTTAATTTTTGTGTAATTTTAGTCTCAATTTAGAATCTTAGAAACACTACAGGCTCATTTCCCCCAAAATAATGAATATCCACTCAAAATATTTCATTTAATCTCATGGGAACATGGTAGACCTCAGATTAGGAAGCCCAAGTTTAGATCTCTATTTTGGTTTCTTCCTATGTCTATTTATCCTTGTTCTTCTCAACAGTCTCTACCTTCTCCAGGAGCTTTTACGAAATGCACCTGCATGGGCTTGACTTCTAACCAACTGAGTCAGAATGTACAGGGCTAGAAGAACAGTGTATCTTCATAAGTCTTTCTGAGTAGTTCTGATATATCCCCTGAATTGAGGTCAAGTTATGCTGATTTTGGGTTAATCTTGACTCTTTCCCCAAATCTTTAAAGGATGCCCAGTGTCTGCCATACTGTAAAACCACACAATTACTAGAAAAGCCTCTGTGAACACTGAAGGGCCTCCGTAAGCTGGTCTCAGGTTACTCTTCAATAGGCATTTCATAAAAATGCACCTAATGTTCCAACAAAATTAAGTGCCAAACATAGCCTGTCTTTCCTGCATCTACACATTTGCTCATCCTGCATATTTTTCCTGAAACTCAGCCATCACTTCCTCTAGAATTTCTGTCACAGACTAGCTAAATACAGCCTCCTTTTGAGAATTGTCTTTGATTCTCAACAATGAAAGTAAATACCTCCTCTCCAAATCCAAAACATTGTGTTTTTATATTCCTCAGGATCTGTCATATTCTGGTTTGATAACTTTTAAAATTTTTTTTAGTTTTTCTTATTTCTTCTTAAGAACATATCTTGTGAAGAATGAATCTTAACTTCATTTTGTATTTTGCACATACTTAGCATAGGGTCTTGTTTTGTATAGATTATGAATAAATGGATGGATGAAAATAAGGATGGATATAAAGATTTAAGAGTGTCTCCTGTTTGTAACTGCCTATAACCGCACTTGTTCCTTGTTGTTTAGTTGCTAAGACATGTCCAGCTCTTTTGTGACCCTGTTGGACTGTAGCCCACAAGGCTCCTCTGTCCATGGGATTTCCCAGGCAAGAATACTGGAGTGGGTTGCCATTTCCTAATCCAGGGGATCTTCTTGACCCAGGGATCAAGCCTGCATCTCCTGCATTGGCAGGAGGATTATTTTCCACTGAGCCACCAAGGAAACTCACACTTGTTCATGGGACCCTTCAAAATAATGAACTTAGAAGTCAAAGAATATTCTTGTTTAGAAGTAAGATTGGGGAAGAAATTGAAGACTAATAATGAAGAGGAGGAAGAGAATTCACTGCCCTCTTTGGGGTGATTTTTCCATACTTGACAAGAGGGGTGATGCCCAAATTCTCAATTAATAGTTATGTTTCGAAGATTAAGGTTTCATTGAGTTTAAATCAATCTTGTTGAGGGAACAAGCAAACATACTAAGGAAGTACAAGTTTCTTTTCCTCTGTGAGTTTAAAGAAATTGGTTCCTAAAAGTGGAAGACATAACAGAATTGTTTATTTTTTAAAAACATTCCATGGGAAGCTCCTACAAGAGCTATAAAGAACTTCTTTTCACACTAGTCAAATGTGGATTTTTTTCTATGCCACTTGGTCAAAAACATTGTGGCATAATTTAATGCTTGACCTATGTAATACAATTAAATGCATGCAATTTCTCACTGACTCTGTAATCCTTAAATCTACATTTTATGTGCAAGAACATAAAAGTATAAATCAAATACTTTTCAGGGTATTCTAGGCTTGAGACTTGCTTAATTGAAGTTCAAAACCACTCCATGAATGACATTATGTATTATTAGAAAATCAAAGGTTAATCTGGGAATGTGTGCACACAACTTGCATTTCTAAATCACAGAATATTTTACAAACATTCTGCAAAACTGATGGCAGTTACTGCTACTGTCATATTTTTAAACTAACTATACATTATGGTTAAAATAAAATTTAGCTTATCGGTGATGTTTTTCTTATATAAAATTTTAACAATCAAGTTTTCCATCTTGAGACTGAATAAGGAAGTAAGAATATGTTTTTTACAGCAAAAAGATGTATAATGATGCAAATAATCCTCTGATGAGCATGAAAATTCCAAGCAAGTCTCAAGAAGACACAAGAAAAGACTCAGAGTAATAATCCAAGATTTGTAAAATAAAATTGATTTCCATTCAAATCAGGTCTTTTACTCTTCTTGAAAATGTCAAGGTGTCAGCCTCGGCCATTACGAGACTGATTTATAGTTGAGACAAAGCGATAGTACCAGCTGACTGTCTGGAGCCACAGCCTAGCGTCTGGAAGGGCTGCCAATGACAGCCCTTTCCTTAACCAATCAGCAAGGCTTAACTAAAACCCTCGCCTTTCCCCCCTCTATCTTGGTAAGGAAAAAGATAAAATACAATCTGGAAGATTTACTTTGTGGGAAATAAGCATTATGAGAGGAAGTAGGTATCACGCTTCCATGGAATAAATAATAAAGATTATTTATGGCAATCTATATTTCAGACGTTTAGAAACACATATTTGTAATATGGGCAAAAACAGATGTTCCAAATATGACAACTTATTTTAGTATACTGGAAACCACAGCATAATTTTGTAATTTGATTAATTAGGAAGAAGAATTGTGGATGTGAAAATCAATTTTCAAACTTTCTAAATTATATTTATAGCCTTGCTCATCTACATCACAAAAACCCAAAATGTTTTGCATGAGAATCATTATTCATAGCAAATTAATCTTTTTCTCAGTGAAGAAGATCCCTAAATAGTAGTCAGTGGTAGTGTAGTATAATATCTAAAATTGTCCAGTTCATAACATGGTAAAAAACAGTGCTGAAAAGGATTAGGATCTAACATTCTAATAATATTAAATTATGTAGTGGTTATATTTATATTAAAGATGCAGTTATACATATGTGCATTATATGAATATATGTATTACTATGCATGCTCAGTCATGTCTGACTCTTTGTGATCCTATATGTTATAGCCCGCCAGGTTCCTCTGTCCTTGGGATTTATCAGGCAAGAATACTGGAGTGGGTTGCCACTTCCTATTCCAGGGGATCTTCCCGACCCAGGGACTGAACTTGTGACTCCTGCATTGGCAGGTGGATTCTTTACCACTGAGCCACCTGGGAATACATGTATAACTATATGTATATACAAATATGATTATATCTGTATAAAATTACAGCCACTGTATTGATTTTATACAATTAGAATGTTATATATATATATATACACACACACACACACACATGCATACACACACACACACACACATATGTATATGTATCTCCAATGATAGTAGAAGAGGAAGAAATTAACTCACAAGCCAAAATAAAATATTTTTAATAATCAGCAACATGAAGCTCCCTAATATTATAATATTAGAGGTAAAGGTAAAATGATATAAAATTTTCTGTAACAGAATGACCTAACCATGTGGTGGCTGAGGACAGACACTAGACTACATAATATAAACACCATCCCTTTTATACCAAACTCCCCTTTCTAATAATCCTAAATAATTTTTAAAATGACAAATTCCTAAATGAGTCTAAATATTGACTTTCCCAATATATGCAAAATATTAAATGATCATGAAAAAATGCTAATAAAATATAATCAGTCTCGGAATGTTTGCATTCCAGTGGTTAAGGTTCTGCCTTCCACTACAGGGAGCATGGGTTTGATCCTTGATCAGGGAACTAAGATCCTAATTAAAATCTCAAAAAAAATTACTGTAATTAATCTCCATGGTACTCAAGGTTGAGATCTGCTGCTGCTAATGTTTCATAGTTACAAAGCTATACAGAACACATTGTTTTAAAAAACTCAATATTACCCATGTTTATAGGCCTCCATGAAGTTTACCAAGACAGAAGCCTATAATGCATCATTATGTAAAGGAAGCTGGAAATGGGGAGTGGTTGTTGGGAGCCCTGTTACATTGTTGCCTCCTTTGAATTTCTTTCACCTTCTGCCACGGACATTAAACTTGCCAGGTGTATCTTGTGGGGCTTCCCAGGTGGCGCTAGTGGTAAAGAACCCACCTGCTAATGCAGGAGACTTAAGAGATGGGGTCTTGATATCTGGGTTGGGAAGATCCCCTGGTGGAGGGTATGGCAACCTACTCCAGTATTCTTGCCTGGAGAATCCCATGGATAGGGGAACTTGGTGGGCTACAATCCAAGGGCGGCAGAGAGTCAGACACGGCTGAAACGACTCAGCACACACGCACATAGGTGTATCCTGCACTGCCTCCCCTACATGGTCTGCCCAACTTGAGTAACAAATAGGACAGAGGAGTTGCTCCGAAACAGAGGCAATCTGAGCCTTTCAGAGAAATGAAATTGATGTAGGGATAAGGAGAAACATCTTGCTTTTTCCTCCTGGAATTACGAGCTGTAGGAATGTGGCATGGGGCACATCTGGAGCTCCCAATGGTCATCTTGGCTATCAACTAGAGAGAATGCAAGAATGAGGTCAACTGCCTGAGAATCAAGTCAACACATTTATTGGAGATAGAGAAGGTGGGGGGAGTACTGTGGGGTCAGGGAGAGGGGCCCAGGCAGAGGAGGAAAGGAGAAATAAGAGAAGGAGGAAGAGAAGGAAGAGGAGGAAGGGAAGGAAGAGGAGGAGATGGTGTCCATATAGTTTCCTCTTTTGTATAAACTATCTTGAGCTGAGTTTTGATCTTTTGCTACTGAAGGAGTCTGATTAGTCCAATGACCTAAGCCAATGCTTAGGTGGCACTAGTGGTAAAGAACCCATCTGACAATGCAAGGACATGTAAGAGACGTGTGTTCAATCCCTGGGTCAGGAAGATCCCCGAAGGACACCATGGCAACCCACTAAAGTACTTTTGCCTGAAGAATCCCATGGACGGAGAAGCCTGGAGGTCGCAGTCAATAGGGTGGCAAAGAGTCGGACATAACTGAAGTGACTTAGCACACAGTACAAGCTAATGCTAGTCCTTGCTAACATGACTCGAAAAGTCTTCTGTGGGTTGGAAAAGATATGTAACCATCTAATGATACAGCAATTTTAACCTGAAAATCATTATTTTGTAAATCAATCATAAATTTAAAAAGTGAAGAGGAGAGAAGTTCAGTTCCATAACTAGCGGTAAAAGTTGTACTAATATTCTGGCTTTCTATTTCTGCTTCACTATTCTAGTTCAGTGGTGACTTTTATGATGCAAAAGTCTAAAACTCCAAGTTTATTCTGCATATTTTGTTAACTCCCAGAGAATAGCCCAATTAAAATGTTTTGATCTTTTGACTAATTAATGTAATTGCTGTTTTATGAAACTCTGCCTGATCAATATCATTATATCCAATTTAGTTCTTTCTTAAAAGAAATTAAATGACAGCTTTTTTTTTTTTTTTTTACATGTACTGACAACATACGTAAATACTTCATTTTGGTCCAATTATTCTGGAAGTGCCATCTTTATAAACCACAGTTATTAACATTGTCATGGTCTAACTATGGTTCTTAATCACCAGAACTTTGCAGAGTATAGGGGATAACATGACCAGACTCTAGGCAGTGGAAATCCAAGCAATATCCCACATCTTGTCCAAATATACAGACAGGTTATCTCATATACACCTAGAAAATAGGACAAGCCTCATAAAATGTTAATCCATAAAATCTGAAAAAGAATAAAGCCTCCAAAGTACAGAATTTATGAAAGGCTAAGGCACACATAAAGGACACAAAAGTGTGAGAAAAGTGAAAGACAGCTTTTGTAGATGATAATCTATTTAAGAGCAGAATTCCTCTTTTCCTTTCCTACAACTGACACTCAGAAAACCCTTGATAAAGATATTTATGATAAATGATTTGTGAGTGCCCTGGAGCTGAAATGATTCCCTATTGGTGTCTGAATCTCATCCTTTGGAACATTGTACATCTGGTAAATTTGGGTGATGAAAAAAAATAGTCTGTTTAGCAGAAGCAATTTCTTGGTGCTAGGCACTGAGCTAAGGAATTTACTTGAATTATTTTGTTGATCAATCCTGAAGTCCTCTGAAGTCCTTGATATTAAAATGTCATTAAAACATAACTGTAAATGAGTTCAGTTGCTTGGTAAATTATGAATCAAGCTTCATCTAATGTATTGAAGACAACTACTTTTTATTATTAAATGCTTAGTATCTATACCTACTAATCACATATCTGACATTTTATTTTAAAGTCAATCAAATTTTGTTAAATGGTCACATCTTTATTGGTCACGATGATTCAGCCTTAATTCATTGAGTTATTTTATGTTAAATTTACATTTATGAGTGAATGGATGAATTAACAAATTAATAGTTTATTTTTAAGTTGATAAGTTGTATTTATGAATTGGAAACTCACATGGGCTTCATTCTCAAGCAAAATCTTTCCTCAGCGGTGACAAATATGTGTCACTAGTGAGACCAAGTTTTCATCCTCTTTACAACCTGTAATCCTTGAGACAAAGAATGACAATCTTTTTCTAATAGCTATATTAATTCTACAAGAAGACATTCGGAAAAAGCCCACTAGAAATTTCATTCCTGAGTCAAGGTCATAAAGGCCTTTAAATAAACTCTACAAGCAGCTATTTATCTCAACACTAAGACTAACAAAATATGCATTCTTATAGATGTGGTACTTCTTATAGATGCACATGTCTTATAAAGTGTAAAGAGCATTTTCTACAGTCAAGCGATAAGATAGGTATCATTTTTAAAATCATTTTTAACAACACATAGTCGTATTATTTATCAGCAATTTACTCTTTCAGAATTACTTTGTTACATTTATTTTAAAATATGTCACAAAAGTGAATGGAAAGAAATGAACTAGAGAGAACATACAAGTTGAGCTTCTTTTCTTCCAAAGTAGGAAGAGCATTTCCATTATTATATCATCTCTTTGTCTCATGTATATATTTGGGTGGTTTTCATCAGTACACTTGGTAGACCTCACCAGAGCACACTCAATGGAAAGAAAATGCATTTTCTTTAAACATAAGACACAGTTACTTTGAGACCCTGTTAATCACTCTTCCTTTCTAATGGAAAAAGTCACCACAGAAACTAAAGTACAAATTTCATTATTCTAGAAGGAACCTTAAAAGTTGACATGTCTTTGAACAATTGTTTCAGAAATCCTATTTTAAGTACATTTTCATTTTCTGGCATGGCTTGAATTGAATTCTAAACTTTCTGCTGTTTGTCCTCTAAGCCCCTCTGGTGAATTTAAATAGGCTTCCCTATATATTTAGTACATTCAAGAATTCTTTGTCGTAGTGCTTACTCTGCTTTATTATTAGAAGGCTGTCTCGGAAGTCCAGCAGCCAGTTTGTTTTCTGCCATTAATAAGGAGTCTACTTCCCCCCCAACTTCTTTGAAGAAGTTGAAAAGACTCCATGTTGGGTGGAGGGGGGCCAGGAAGAGAGAGAAGTGAAGGGAACCTCTGCGGTGTAATCCCCCAACAAAAAATGCTGTCTAATGTAGGATCCTCCCCAAGGTTCATAAATGCACAGGCCGGGTTTTCAATGCGATGTTTAACAGAGTAATAACTTAGCCACATACTGGTTCTCCCCTTACCGCTAAGAAGAGGAAGTTTACCATGAGAAGGATATTACATTTTTAAATTCTACAAAACCAAGTGCTTCTGTTGTCTAACGTTTCAACATCACCCAAATCTCTTAGTGAAGATGTCTGAAAACTGGAAACACCACAACAGTGTCAATTTAATTTCTCATAGTTCACTTATATGTCCAGAAAAACACGTAGAATTTCAATAAAGACCTACCAATTTGGATGTATAAAATATTGATGTTGACTCATGGCCTAGGGAAAGCTAATTCAAAGGCAAGGAAAGATGACTCCACAGAATAGTCATCTGGGGTTCACAAATCGTCAGACACCTACCAGGAGAGAGGAAGAAACTTCTTAGAAAAGTGAAATGGTTAAGTCCACTTTGCATCAAAGACCTAAAATGCCCCAGAAACCCAAAAGGCCAAGATGAAATCTAGGAATTATTATTCTCATTTAGCTGACCTAACAGATATAGTCCATGATTATTTTTCACTCTAGTTTTGTTTAGGAATAATTATTAAGGTAACACTTAAAACCATATTTCTAACATCAGATACAATGAAAAACTTATTTCACCATATGATAATTTTTCACTTTGAAATTCTTTATAAAATATGTATGCATTAGCTGACTATATAAAACTATTTCATCTTAAATTCACTTAATCTCAATTACCTTCAAGTTCCACCTGCTTCCAAACTGCTACAAGTAAGACATTACATACAACTTAATATTATTGGCTAGTAATGAATGCACTCTACCTGATAAAGCTGGGAAAAAAGCAACATTCAATGAAAATCAAAGCTAACACATTGAAGAAATATTGTGGATAATTCTATGAAAAATTTTCAATTTTCATACTATTTTTATCAAAGATTTAAAAAATTAAGATATCTTTGAATATATAAATATGTATATTAACACATATTAATTTATACATTAAAGTATGTATTAAGTACATATGCTAATGTGTATTAATATACATGCATATAATATCTCAGAGTGTAGTTGGTCACTGAGGGATAAAAAACTAAATATGGAGACGACAGATAATGTTAGCACCTAAGTTTCCACATACTATGTATTTGCAGAGTTGCAGTAAAAAGCCTATTTTTCAAAAGCTTACAAATGCCCAGGATTTTTGAAAACTTCTCTATATTAGGAACTTTGTTTTCCTTTTCTAAATACAGCCACTAAGGGATGGATCAGTGGGGTTTCAGTGCTACGTTAAATGTCTAGTAAGAAATTAAACAAAAAATCTAAGTAATCAAAATGATGCCTGCACTCGCTGCCTACCGAAATGTAGGCTGCATTGCATGTGTAAATGGCAAGAGTATTTGGGCATTAGTTAACCCTTTACGTACTGCTTTTCTAGAAACTCATCCAAACATAACAACTTGCAAAACCTTTTAAATATTCATCAGGTGAATTAGACTAAGTCTGGGCACATGTACTAGCATGTCCATTTGAGTTTAAGGAATTTAAGGCAGTATATACCACTTGTAATTTCATTAGTAATTAACCTGTATTATAATTCCCCTGAGACACCTATACCTCTTCTAGACATTATTAATGTAGCTTAATCTCTGCACTTCTACTGAAGCTTTACTGGCATACTAAAGTGTTAAGGACTTTTATACTCAGAAAGATATTGACCCCATGAACCCAGAAATGAAATATAATCATATTTAGATTTGGCAAAATTCCAGAAGTGGCTTCCTTGATGGATCCTAAAAGGCTTTAAAAAATGCCAATTTTGAAAAACTGCTGTTTTCCTTACAGAGATTAAAAGTTTAAAGCATGGGTATCACAATATTAACATAGCAATGTAAAAGAGACAAAAGAAAAACTAATATGTCTTTGGTATTTGATAGATGTTTAAGGTGAGAGAATGATAATTAAAAAAAAAAACCAGAGCTGGAAGTTGACAGTAAATCAGCAAACAATGTGAAAAAAGGCAAAGAATCAAGCAGGGGTTAGTATGTTTACGTAAAACAGTGATTTGCTATTTCAAAATTAAAATGTAAAAATAAGCTGGTGTCAGAGAGGAGGTGATTCCTCATTTCCACCGCATTGAGCAAGCTCACATCGGCGGCAGACAGCCTTTAATATATGCGTCTGGCTCAGACTGGTCTCCCAACCAGGAAGCCATAGAATTGTTAATATCACTGCTTTTTTTGTATGCAACACACATCATTTTCTCGCTCTTTGTTGTAGATCTCTCCCTTTATTTTAAGCTTAGTAAGATCTGATTTTCCAAATCATTTTATACAGCCCTCAAACAATATCATCCTGTGACAGCTAAGATAGAAATGCAGAAAAAGTGGCATCCATCTCTTCATATACAGCATAAAGTAATTTATATGAACAAAGTTACTCACTTATATCTCTACTTACCTTTATAGAGTAAGAGAAAAGCTTTATCAATGATGCAATCAGAACAGATAGTTCACATATCAAACATTACATACAGAGGGTTCATAGAATGCATGATGATTAGTAACATATATATATATATATATTTATATGTTTATGTGGAAAATAAACACAGTTGCACTTTAAGTCTAGCTTTGGTATCTTCTGACTATGAAACAGAAGTTAATATATAGTGTGATTCATAAATACGATGACATAAAAAATCCGGCATATGAGATAGCTTATATTTGATAACATTAAAGCCAACAAACATCTATCCTTTACATCATTTTGGAATCAAAGTGATGGAACACATTATACATACATATTGCTATTAAAACAGGTGTTTGTAAACATATACCTACATGTGGTGTTGTTTTATGTGAGAGACACTTTCTGATCCATTGGGTAAATGTTGCTGTTTAAATATAAGCAAGTTTCTGTGTACTTGTAGATAGATAGAGTTCTTTGTACTGAGTAGCTTATGTTTTTAACAATGCTTAATTACAATGAAAATAAAGTTAAAAGAAGTAAAAAATAAATACTACCTAAAACTTTATAGCTTATATTATCTCTGTTCCTTTGAAGTTTTAAAACATGTTGATATACCTACACATACTTAAAATTTTGAGATATTAGACTAATGAAGTAGGTGATATAAATAAAAAATCTGAAAAGATACAGGGTGGATACATGCTTAAATACATGCTTAAACACATTCTATGTGCCCGTATGGATGGGGAGTATGTTTATGATATTTCAACAACAATTTTTTAGGAAATATAACTCATGAGTGTTTTGTATTCTGTGATATTTCAAATAATATGTAATTCTAACAAATCCAATAACAATGTGGACAAAGACTTCATTACAGTATTCTAAAACACATCCTGAGATTTATTTTAAAAGTGAGAAGATATATACAATTTATAGTACCCCTGTAAAGCAACAGAGTTTAAAGAATGAAATGATCTTGTTTCTTCTATTATGGAAAAATCTCTCGCCTCCATTTTGAATCTTAATATCTGCAACATAATTATAAAATTTAAAAATAGATTTAATGTAAGATTCTGTTTTCAAAAATGCACATTTGATATGGCAATAGCTAATAATGTTCAAGTGTGACATGTTATAGTTGGAATAGCTACCTCATATTAGACTAAAATTCTCATAAAAGTGTAAGTCTGCAGTTCAGATTCAATTGATAGACTAACTAGAACAATTTGACTTCATAGGTGGTGTTTACTAAATTTTCTCACATACATCCATGATATATGCCAAGTAAAATACAAAAATTAAAAGATAGCATATTCCTGCTAATTATGGTAATTCATACTCCTATAACAAGACAATGTCTTATTATAAGACATTTCAAGCATTTTGTCTGGTTAAAAAGACTAAAGAAAACTCTGGCAACAAATACCAAGTATAAAACATCATTCTTCTTAAATCAGTATAAAATCTAACAGGGTCAAATAAAGAAGACGGCAAATCATTTTATTTCTAGGCCTCAAGCATGTCTAGAGCTATATATGACATATTTTCAGCCACAGTTACGAAAACATGTAGGAATTATTTAAGTAGCTAATGCATATATCTTTATGCATAAGAAAAAAGATATAAATATAAAACACTCTCTTCATTATTAACCAAGGAGTTACTCTCTTGGGCTAGCCACCTGAAAACACACCAAAAGAAGCATTTCAAAAACACTGAATTTTAATTCTGCTTCTTACATAGATATCTTATATTGCTTTTATATGGTCATTATGATATAATACAAATGCTATTTCTGTGCAACTCTGTCATCACTTTAGAGTACAGTTTCTGAAAATAGCATTTTTGGGGGTGGGTCATGGTGATAACATTGCTGATTATAAATAAGAGCATTGTTCTTTTCTCCTAGGCAGAATCTATGTGTGTTCTTTTGTTCTGACGGTAACTGCAGACAGTCAGTAAGGTCCAAAGGTGCTAGTTCCCTCCGCCTAGGTCCCAAGAGCCTGACTTGTGATGTTACTAAAATACCTCACAAGTTAGGGTCTCAGGGACTAGGAAAAGTCCAGTTTGATGCGGTAGAATTCTTCTTCCAGTAATAAGGCTAGTTTAGAAATTACAGTTGGGTTCAGTTAACTTTTCCCTCTAAATACTAATGAAAATACATATGTAGACATATAGATATATGTATGGTATATATAAGTTAGGATGAGCTGAATATTCACAACAACCATTGATAGACTAATTTCAGACCTTAAAATAATGAAGAATGTAAGGAACAATGCAGATAATGAACAGTTAAGAGTCATTCCATTAGATCTAAGAAAGAGACCAAAAATGGGTTAAAAATCTGTTTGTAGCAAATTTGTACAGCAACACCATAGCTTCTATTACATTAAAGAAGGATTATATGCCGGTTAATGGGACCTAATTGAAATTTTGCTTCCCATTATACGCCTATACACCACAACTTGTAAGGTGGGCCCAGGATATATAACACTTTGAATCTAATACATATATATATGTGTATATGTATATATACACACATTGTTGCAGTTAAGAATAAAACAAAAACTTTTTTTGCATGTCATAATTTAGTACCTCTGCAGCTTGCTATTTCTCTTTGAATCACCAAACTATTCAGACAGCCAATATTTCCATGCATACTCTGAGTTATTTGAGCAGTGCCACTTAATAAACATGTAACTTAAAATGCTGGCAACATAAGAAAATAAAAGACTCTATCTTTAAATAATTGCATTATAAAGCTCAACACTTTTGAAAATACACAATTCCAATCCTGTATATTCACTGAATTTCTTCCGATCTTTTAGCCTTGTTTGTGGTTCGAGAACAGAATTTATACTTTAGGAATGATCCAAGGTTTAGAAGCATAGAACGCAGGGTAAAACAATCAGACCAGCCATAACATAAAAGTCCTGGCCACAGAAGTGGAATCTGGTTCTTCTCAAGTGGTTGATCTTAAAAGGGAAAAGAGGAAGAAAAAAAACAAAAACAAAAACGGAAAGAATTAGAATGTTTTCCTGTAAAACAGGTGAATCATCCATTTCCAAGTAAGCTGCAAGGAAAGCTATACTGAACAAAATATTTGCTAACTGGCCCCCCTCCTCCACCCTAGTACCACACCCCTTTCCAGCCACCGCCCCCCACCCTCTGTCCAGATCTTTACTTTGCCTTGTAAGACTTTAAAAATTCTGCACCATGATGTAATGCATCATTATATAAGATCTCTTTTTGTTTATCATTTGATTTTCCATACAGAATCAGTTATGGCTTAAAATAGTAAATAGTTAAAAAAAAATAAAACAAAAAAGCACCACTCACAAAAAGCAAAAAAAAAGAAAAAAAAAGAAAACAGTCCTTAGATATAAGTCCATGCTTTTCCTTAAAACTGAATATGGCTTTACAATTTTTGACCATAGCATTCAACCAATTATTAGAATGAAAAATCTCACCCCTCCATAAATATGACATTAACATAATTATACCACCCCCATCACGGAGACCCATCCTCCTTAGGGAATACATCTGATGCTCCAAAGATGGAAATCAGTCAGATTTTAGTTGCTCTCCAACGTACCTTTGCTTCTCACTGACTGACTGGCTTTTACCCTCCACGCACTCACACGCCACCCCCTCCCCTCGGCTAGACACGGATGCCCGAGCGAGCACGCGCGCACAGGCATACAGACACCAGCGAGAGGCGAGGCAAGGCATCTGATGCTGACTCAGAGCGCTTCTGTGTGCAGGGGGTGGCAGCGGCTGGTATTTTCACTGCGCTCATCATTAACATTAACTCACAGTCTAGCATCCACCCTCTCCCAGACCTGCGGGACTGCAGTATTTGCATGACGCTGTCACTCTAGCCTTTGCAGGTCAGATGATGGGGGGGAGAAAAAAAGGAGAGAAGGAAAGGAAGAGAAGGAGTGAAAAGGAAAAGCCCCAAAGCCTTCGTTTCTTCCAGGGTCTCCTTATTTTTCCACCTTTCTACTTCCTCTGTGGCTATGTCTCAGTTGTTTGACATCTTTCCGGAAGAAACTGTCTTGCGCTTCAGTGAGCCAGTAGTCAGGCGGTCCTCCCCTCACCTCACACTCCGGTCCCCACCCCCTCCCCACCCCCCACCCCCAAATCAATAAGACAGATCTCCAAATACAGTTGTGGAAACAGGCTCCGACACAGTCTCATCCTGGATTCACTACCTCAGGAAGCAGGCAGCCAGGCTCACACGTGATAGAGAAATAACGCCAGCAA